GAAAAAACCAGACCTATAATGCCAAATTTGATACTTTGATTTTGTTTAGCATAACACAGAATAACGTGGAAAGTTATAGTGACATTTATAAGTAAAAACCCTATTAAGAGATGCTTGAAATGACATTAACCTGCAGATGTTGAAACCTGAGCAAGCCACAGCCGTAAGTCAGCAAACGCATTTTGGAGGTCAGGGTGGCCCAGGACATCTCAGGGTAGAGCTCCATCAGCTCGGACTCACTCACACCATTGTGACTAACGTTGACCAGACAGAGAATCTAGGTAGAGAAAGGAGCAAGCAGGGATCACAGAGTACCTCCGTAAGTCACAGCCAAGAAGTCCCACAAGTCTTTTAACCTTATTCACTTTTTACCCAAACTTAAAATTCAAATGAGTTAATAAATCCAGAAATAAAGCACAATCACCCTTATAATAAAGCACAATCATCTTAAAGTCATAAATCAAGAATAAAACAGTATATATATAAAATCTAGCACATCAAAGATTATACAGAGAGAATAAAAAGCTTACTTAAAATTTAAACTACATAAAATATATTATTAAAACCAATGACAGAATTCCAACTCTGGGAAGACAGTGGAAGAAAAGAGCCCTTCTACAACAAATGACTATGACTATCTGCACGGAATAGAAGCTGCAGACCAGAGGGCCAGGTGCTGGAGCTGCTGTCCCCCGGGGAAGTGGAGGCAGAGATGTGCAGCAGACCCAATGACTTAGGGCTTAAGCATCACACCTACAGTGGAGATGAAAGGGGAACCCTCAGCTCCTGTGAGGCCAGGGAGGGGAACATCAATCTTGACATTTGCAGGGCCTCCCAAGGGCTAGAGGGGCGGGGTACAGGAGGAAACATCAGAAGGATTACATTCTCAGTGAAAGGAAGGGTAAGGAGGCCCATCAGCCCACCGAAGGGAGGGCACACTAAGAAGCCCACGGTCGAGATGAAAAGTCAAAATGCCAGGAACCACCAGGCTGAGAAAGTAACAGGAAAATAGATCCGGAGCTGGGCATGGTTTGTACACAGAGGTTGAAGCAGAGGACGTCATGTTTCTAGGTCAGTTTGGACTACATAAGTGAGTTCAGGCCAGGCTGGGCCACAGTGTGAGACTGAGGAAAAAAAAAAAAAGGAAGGAAAGAGGGAGGGAGGGAGGGCAGGAAGAAAGAAAAACCCTGGTTGAATTATGAGAGTTTAACAAGGTAGCTAAATATAAATCAAGTTCTCAAAACTCAAAATCAAATTTCTTAACAAAAATGCTACTTAGAAATACATTAAAAAAAGATTTTATTTACTTTTATGAGTGTTTTGCCTGCATATATGTAATTGTTCTACATGCATGCCTGGTGCCCACAGAGGCCAGAAGATACCCTGGGATTGGAGTTATAGATGGTTGTTAGCCACCATGTGGGTGCTCGGAACCAAACCTGGGTCCTCTGCAAGAAGAGCCAGTGCTCTTAACCACAGAGTCATCTCTCCTGCCCTATAGAAAGAAATCTTAACAATAGATGTGCAACACCATATGAGGAAGGAGATAAAACATTTTTGAAAGGCATTGAAGAAGATGACTAAATAATGGAAAGTTATGTAGCTTTCCATGGAGATCCAAATTAATTGCTAAATTCAATGCAATTCTAATTAA